CAGCATTTTGTTTAGAATTTTTCATCTGTAATCATTAGTAAGATGGCCTGTGACTTTACTCTTTTTCAGATTGTCCCTGTCTCATTTTGTTAGAATAAGTCTGGGAGATTTCCTTCTTTTCTAATTTTCAGGAAGTAATTGATCCCTGAAAGTTGCCCTGCAAAATCATAAGGACTTGATTTTTTTTTTTTCCAGTGGGAAGATTTTAAACGACTTATTCAAAGTCTTTAAACAGCATTTATTATTCTGGCTTTGTAGTTCTTCTTACATGAGTTTTATAATTTTTTTCCTTTCTTTTTCTTTGTTTGAGACAGAGTCTTGCTTTGCTGACCAGGCTGGAGTACAGTGGTGCGATCTTGGCTCACTGCAGCCACTGCCTCCCGGTTCCAGCGATTCTTCTGCCTCAGCCTCCCAGGTGGCTGGGATTACAGGCATGCACCACCACGCCTGGTTAATTTTTATATTTTCAGCAGAGATTGGTTTCACCATGTTGGCCAGGCTGGTCTCGAACTCCTGATCTCAGGTAATCCATCTGTCTCAGCCTCCCAAAGTGCTATGATTACAAGCATGAGCCACTGTGTCCAGCCAAGTTATATAGATATTTTTCCAGGAATTAATTTAATTAAGTTTCAAATTTATGCTATATGTTGGTTGTTAGTATTCATGTATCTAATTTTAATCATTTTTGCTATCTATAGATATATATCATTTTTCTGCCTTCTTTCATTTTCTTTCTTGATCAGTCTCATCAGAGGTTGCTCTATTTTATTCAAAGAATCAACTCTTTTTGCCCTAGTTCACTAATGTGTGCTTTTGTAAAATCTCTTAAATTTTGGGAGGCCTTTTTTTCTGCTACTTTTCCAGCTGTTAAATTTGGTTGCATTTATCATTCATATCACATTTTCAACCTCTCTTTTGGTACAAGTGTTTAAAGCTGTTAATTTCCTTTAAAGTACCCTCTTAACTGACTTCTCACAAGTTTTTATCTGCAATTTTTTTAATCACACAGTTTGAAATATTTTATAATTTCCATTGTGTTTTATTTTAAAATCTATTGTTTAATGTCATTGCATAAATAAGTACATTTATTGTTTAAATTTAAAAACATGAAAAACTGATTTTTTTTTTTTTTATATTTCTTAAAGCACTTTCTAGACTTTTAAATTTTCTGTTGTGGTCAGGCAACAAACTTTGAGTGATAATGATTTTTGAAATTTGTTGAGACTTGCTTTATATTTCATGAGACTTGCTTTATTTTCTATTGGGAGGAATGTGTTCTTTAACTGCAAGTTTCATGTTTCCTTATAAACTTGATGGTTCAAATTATCTACACATTCATTAATTGTTATCTTAACCTAAAGGCTTGTTGAACTCTCCCACTATGATAGTGAGTTTGTCAAAATTTCCCTCTACTTCTATCAATTTTTGCTTTATGTGTTCTGTGGCTTTGTTATTAGGTATATCTAAATTTAGAATATTTTTATCTTCTTTCTGAATTGAGTCTTTTATCATTATATAGTGTTCCCCTTTCTCTTTTATCTTGCTTTCTTGTATTAATAAAGCTGTCAGTTTAAAATACAATTAACATTTACATGGTATATTTATTTCCATTCTTTTCAAGTTTCTTTGTCCTCATTTTTTGGTTATCTTTTGTAAATGCACATAGCAGAATTTAAAATCCAACCACATCTTCCTTCCTTTAATCAACAAGTTCAGACTATTTATTATGATTGTTTCCTTGATTCTTATAAATGCACTTTCTACCTGTCACTTTTTGCTGTGCTTTTTTCTCTCTTCTTGCTTTCTCAGTTAATTGAATTTTGATTTGTCAATCTGTTTTTCTTATTCATTTTTATTCTCCCTGTTTCAAGAGTTTTGTTCTCTATTTCTGTCATTTAGAAATTGTCAAAGAAATTGTACCATACTTATTTAACAGCTCTACAAAGTCTAAATTCAATATCTATATCTCACTTTTTACTGTAGATGTTTACCAGTTTTAATGAAGTCTAAACTTACTATCTATATTTCACTTTTCTCTTCGCCTTCTCTCTTTCCTTCCCTTCTTCTTTTCCTTTCTCTGATTCTTTATGCTTCTCCTCCATTCCCCTTTTCCCTGAAGATTTCACTTTATTTCTTTTTTTTTTTTTTTTTTTTTTTTTGAGACGGAGTCTCGTTCTGTTGCCAGGCTAGTTGCTGTGGCACAATCTCGGCTCACTGCAACCTCTTTCTCCCGCGTTCAAGTGATCCTCCCGCCTCAGCCACCCCAGTAGCTGGGACTACAGGCATGTGCCACCACGCCCAGCTAATTTTTGTATTTTTAGTAGAGGCAGTGTTTCACCATATTGGCCAGGATGGTCTCGATCTCTTGAACTTGTGATCCGCTCACCTCATCCTCCCAAAGTGCTGGAATTACAGGTGTGAGCCACCGCATTCGGCCAATTTCAGTTTCTTGATTACCCAATGATGATTTAAAAATTATGTTTGTCATCATTTTGCCACATTCTATTTGAATGTAGCAGTAGACTCTTCAGAAAAATCATTCACATAAAGAATATCTTCTCTTACTGACTTGAGGGTACATGCCAAGAGTAGAATTTCTGGATCACTTTCAGCTTAAACAGATGTTCCGGGTATGGTGGCTCACGCTTGGTAGTACCAGCACTTTGGGAGGCCGAGGTGGGTGGATCATGAGGTCAGGAGCGAAACCCTTCTCTACTAAAAATACGAAAATTAGCTGGGTGTGATGGTGGGCGTCTGTAATCCCAGTTGCTTGGGAGGCTGAGGCAGGAGAATCACTTGAACCCAAGAGGCAGAGGTTGCAGTGAGCTGAGATGGCACCGCTGCACTCCAGTCTGGGAGACAGAGCTGAACTCCGTCTCAAAAAACAAAACAAAACAAAAGCAAACAAACAACAAAAAAAGAAAAATGCCAAAAGTTTTCTACCGTGGTGATTATACCAGCTGATAGTCTCATCAAAAGTATATGAAGTAGTCATTTTCTCAAAAAATTGCTGAGATTGGATTTTACCAGTTTAATTTTTGTTAAGCTTTATTTGGGGAAAACAATTTATCATTTTCTTGAAATGGCTTTGTTATTAAGTGTATCTAAATTTAGAGTATTTCAGTATGTTTTTCTCATGTATACTGAATATTAAGGTCTACTCTTCTTTGAGTTGCCCTTATTTTTCTATTCATTTATATAAGTTCTATATTCAGAATACCATTCCTCTGTGTGTTATAATAATCATACCCAAATATGTACTCTTATTCAGTACATTAATATTAGAATTTTTTTAAAAAAATGTATTTTAATGACAACTATTACCTGTCTTCTTATATTTTCCTATATTTTACAACTTTTCAATAGGCTTTGCAATAATTGTATATAGATAAAAATGTTTTATGAAAAATATATTTTGCAAAACGATTGACAGGGACGATGTGGTTATTCAACAGAGAAGTGGAGCCAACTGATTTGAGAAGGAAGCATTGAAGGGCCAACATTAACCCAAGGATGGAAGGGGTTGCTTCCTTTGAGGGTGGGGAATGTGCTTAAGGTTAAGACACGCAGGACAACAGCTTTGCTGGGTGGACAAATTCCTTGGGAGGATGATTTGTTCAAGTTTCAGCTGGGATGTTGGATTAGGTCACTCTGTGTCTCTACTATTTGTGAGTCCATGATTAATGGCGGACTAAAACACTTGGAACTCTGAGCCGAAGAATACCTGGTGTGAGATGGATTCGTGTGTATCCTACCTAACCCGAGTAAACATGTCTTCTCCTTTTCTCAGTTCTATTTTGTGCAGAAGCTGGTCCTGCAGATAGAAGGGCCATTTAGAAAAGAATTGACAGAGCAGAACTAATGATTGACCACGTTAGCTCCACCGAGGTGATGAGAACAGGGTGGAGTTTTGAGTAATGGTGGCTGCTGTGAGAAATGACCTTCAGCGGAGACAATGACTGGGGAACTGGGCTATTGGGTTTGGCAATCATCTCACCCCAGGATCTCACCATCCCAGTTCAAGAACCTGTGAGGAAGGGTGCCTACCTGAGAGAAAATGGGGATAAAGCAGCTGGCTTTGGATTGATTTCCCTGGCCCTATCTGGTCATTGCTGCTGGGCTTTAGGCAGAGCAGATAGACTTAAACTCATATATAGTCTAAGTGACGTATGGGGGCTGGGATTGATGGACAACATAACCTATGTGAAATTCAAGGGACTTGCTGGGGTCTTCATCCATGAAAGGCTAAAGGAAACTTTTCCCCCAGAGTGTGTATTTAGGTAGAAGCAAGGGTATGTTTGTGCGTGGGTATGTGTTAATGTTAATAATAAACGATGCTTAGCTAGAGATTAGAACCGTTCAGGGAGGTTAAGGATTTTAAGGGAGTCTACGGCCTTAAGAAAATTTTTCTTTGGATAGGAGAATACGGTGTGGAGCATGGCTGGGTGGAGGGAGAAGATAACTTGGGTATGTAGATTGACTACTGCCGAGATAGATCTCAGCTAGGAAAAAAGAAGGAACAAAGTAAGAAGGGAGAAAGCGAAGAAGCCCCTGAGTCTTCGGCATAGCAAGAACGTCTGAGAAAGAAGGCGAGAGCAGCGGCCAAGGCAGGGGCGCACGGCACAGGGGTCCCCGGGGTCTGTAGGCTGGGAAGGCGGGCGAGGTCAGGGAGGGGCCTTGAGAGCGCGGCCACTCACGCTCTGCCCCCTCACTCTGCCTCTAGAAAAGGAGCGCGGCCCGGGTGGCGGGTCTGTCTTGGGAACCCTGTGCGGCCGCAGTACAACACGCAGCGACACCCGCGGTGAGCCAGAGCCTCTCAGCGCTGGAGCGCCGCGAGGCCCAGACGAGCTCTGGCGCCCCTTGAGCGCTCGGAGTGGGTCTCACAGCATTGTCTCACCCAGTTCGCCTGCTCCGGGGGGTGGGTCCACTGGGCAGGGGGCGCCCTGGGCAGGGGGCTGGGACCAAGGGAGGGCAGGGGTCGCCTGCGCTGAAACCTCTGGTTCCTCCTGAGCAGGAGGCGCCAGTGTCCTCCTTCGAAAGAGCGCGGCGCACCCAGGACACCGCACCCAGAACACCGCGCCCGGACGCGTGCCTCGGAAGTCGACCAGAGGTCCTGGACTCTCGCGTGGTCTCCCTCTTCTGCGTCCAGGTGATCTGACCCGGGGCGTGTGGCACTGGGTGAGGTGCTAACCTGAAATTAAGAGGGAAGAAAATTCCCTGGTTCTACTCTAGCCCTTCCGATACAATACGAATCATAAACTACTGGCTTTCGCCTCAGTGTGGGGAAATTGCATAATTTTCAACCATGTGAAACAACTTGAATATGCTGTTTAGATGTGTTTCGTATGATTTCTCTCTTCAGCCTAACTTTTTTGGGGAGGTGGCAGACGGCGGTGTACGGGGGGCGGCGGGGTGGGGGATGTGTTCAGGATCTGTTGTCCTCACCTTATCCCTCCCCGTTGCTGTCAAGGTTGTAAAAGGGACATTTCTAACACTAGCCTTGAATAATAGCTGTGTGGCAATTCAATGCCAACTTCTTCCTTGACTTCCTTCTATGTGCTTTGGGCCGATTTTACTGAACAATAGTTGGCAATGAAGTGTGCAAAGAAGCATTAAAAAATGCCAAGATTTTGCCGAATGTAATGGGCCCTGCATACTCTCATCCTACCTTACATCACCTTTGTCTTCATGCCACTTCATGTGTGTATATGTTCATCGTCTCCAACCAGCTCCTCAACAACCTGAGAGAAGCCAGGGATACACCGAACATTAGTGCCTAACAGTATTTTCCAATAAATAGAAACAGCAGTAACTTTGAAACTTAAACGGTGCTTGTGAGATCTAGTACTATTTGGGTTGATAATACCTCAATTAACAACAACAAAATATTTCTTATGGTTACATGTAGAAAGGACTGCATTTTGATCCACTTAGTTGAAATGTGTTGTGGCAGGTAGGAGTCTTGGATAGGCAGTCAGGAGTCTGAAGTCTTGCGGGGCCGTATCACTTATCATTGTTCTAATCAGTAAAGGGAGAAGGTTGGAGCACAAGCTCTTTAAGGTTTCTGCCAGTTTTAAAGGTCTGTGATTAAATGAACTTTTCATATTTTCATAAACTTGTTGGATTTCAATGACTCCCGAAGACTTTTGATCAGAACGTTGGAAATCAAATTGGAACTGTAATGTCCTAAAGGAAGGTGTGACAATCAGTAACTTAGAAAAAACTAACAAATACCTAGTAAGCAAATTTTGCTTGATCAAAAACAAATATATGTGTGTGTGTAGTTTTTTAGATCAAGTGATTGAATTTTTTTTTTTTAATAGAAATGGGTTTTGCTGCAAGAAGATGGTTGTACCTACAGCTGGGCTGCATGATGCTGATCAATCTGGTTAATGCTGACTTTAAGTTTCAAAAGGGAGTGCTTGCTAGCATCAGCCCAGGGATCACCGAAGACATTGATCTCCAGTGCTGGAAAACTTGCTCTTTGACACTGATAGATCTTAAAGAACTCAAGATAGAGCACAATGTGGATGCTTTTTGGAATTTCATGTTGTTCTTGCAAAAATCTCAGCGGCCTGGACATTATAATGTCTTCTTAAACATAGCTCAGGATTTCTGGGACATGTATGTAGACTGCTTGCTTTCAAGATCTCATGGAATGGGCAGAAGACAGTTGATGCCTCCCAAATATAATATTCCACAGAAAATAACAGGAGGTAATTTAAATTTGCATTTAAAATAATTGTAGTTTACTTTTCTTTAAAAATCACTACTTAATTCTTCTGATTTTTTCAAGTTACGCAACAAGCTAGCAAATTTGCTATAGTTTTTTCCTAAAATGATAGGTTTTGATTTTCATTTTTGCTCATTTTATATTACAAACCACACGAGCTCTGATGTGCAAACAATTCCAAATGATCTTGGAATATGATACACTTTGGTAGGTAATTAAAATTATTCTTGTTTCCCCATGAATAGTTCATAAGTCATTTAACCCTGTAATTATTCATATTACATTTGATGAAGAAATTTTAAACATCAGACATGTATTTAGGCTTTTGAAATTAATTTTTTCAT